TATATATATATATATGTAAACAGTATATCCAGTGATTGTCAGAAACCCCAGGATCCAAATCTCTATTTTTGTGCGGTTGTCAACATGCATATAAATACAAGATTTCTCCAGCCCCAGACAGTGAGAGCCACCAGCGCACCGGCGGGCAGAGGCACACCCCACCAGAGGGCAGTGGGACCACGGGCAGAGTCAACCACTAGCAGTGGGCCCTCAGGTGAACCAAATGAGAGGGCAGCCCGAGTCCCAGCCTGACAAATACCCAATCATACACAAACACAATCCCACAGTCCCACCATCATTCTCACACCCACTCATTCAAAGACAGACAAGATGAACGCCACTCCCCACTCACACTCCTGATACACATTCTATACCCACCAGGTCCAGGACATGTACCCGCCCCCTACAGAGGGCAGGTCATATCCGAACCCAGGAGGCAAGCCCATTCATTCTGGGGTGTAGAAGAGCACACAGCCAAGGTCTGGCACAAACTGCACAAGGCCAGCCGGCCGGCACCCCGYCACAGCGAAGCAACACCMCTGACCACCCCCACACACCACCAACGGCCAAGCGCACACCCCCCAGCTGACCACCAGCCAGGCTCCGGCAGCCACTCTCCAGCCAGCGGGCTAACCATGGCAACCACGGGCCACAATCCGAGAGCCCGAACAACCCCAGGGAAGACAGATTGCCAGCCACCCCCCACCCCCCCTCTCGATTCCATCCACAGTCCAGTCCCCCACCAGACGGTCTGCCCCTATCTGAACCCCACCCCCAAATGACAATCGGAGATTGCGGGAGGTCAAGAGAAATGAAAAAAACAGACTCCGACACACACCCCCACCCCCAGATGTGCTGTTGATGCGTGTCTTTCTGAAGTGTAATTAAAATGAGTAAGAAGAGGGGCAGAGGTCAGCATTGTGTCAGTTTTCTCTCCACTCCAAATAGACCCTAAGTGTCTACAAGCGACCCTTGGGGGTGGACACAGGCGCCAGCGGCGAGAGTGATCCCCTCTCGCCCCTTGCCTGCCATAGAGTGCCCACCTCAAGTACCTATATGTAGATGTCCTGAGGATGTTGTAATTGAATGTCTAAAGTGCATAGTAAAATTGGGGCTCAGGTGGTTAACTCAAACTGGGTAGTAAAACTGTTGCCCTTGCAACGCACCTGCGCCCCAAAAATGTCATCAGCATTTAACAGTGATTACTGAGTTAAACCAGGACCAAATGCAACAACAAACACACACACGTTTGTTTCTTGACCCCGTGGGGACCTTCCATTGACTTCCATTCATGTGTTTTAGACTTTATATCCTAACCCCGACCATATACTCAAAAATTAACCTAACAGGTACCTACCTGACCCTAAAACTAACTTAAACCTTGGTCCTAAACCTAACCCCACACCAGTAATATGCATTTGGACCTGTGGGGACATGGCATTGGGCCCCACGATTAACTTCAGTCCCCACGAGGATGCTTTTTTTTTGTAAAAAAAATTCCCCACATTGTAGGAAAAACCGATTCACACACACACACACAGAAAAAAAGCTATTCCTCTAATCCAGTAATTTGTCAGTATTAGGCAACAGTCCAGCCAAATATATTACTTGAAGTTTAATGCCATGTTTATTATGGACATTTGCAGATTCTATCACCTGTGTAAGATGCCCACCAGAATCCTGGTCAAATGACAGAAGAGATGCCTGTGTAACAAACGAAGCTGTTTTTCTGTCCTATGAAGAAATTATGGGGATGATTCTCACCGCTGCAGCATTATTTGGAACATGTATGACAGCTGCTGTAGCTGTCATTTTCTTCAGACACAGGACAACTCCTCTTGTCAGAGCAAACAACTCTGAGCTGAGCTTCCTGCTGCTTTTCTCCTTGACTCTGTGTTTTCTCTGCTCTCTGACCTTCATTGGACGTCCCTCTGAGTGGTCCTGTATGCTCCGTCACACAGCTTTTGGCATCACCTTCGTCCTCTGCATCTCCTGTATTTTAGGGAAAACAATGGTGGTTTTAATGGCGTTTAAAGCTACACTTCCAGGCAGTAATGTGATGAAATGGTTTGGGCCTACCCAGCAGAGACTCAGTGTTCTTTGTTTAACTTTTATACAAGTTATAATATGTATTCTCTGGTTGACAATTTCTCCTCCTTTTCCATCTAAGAACTTTAAAGTATTTAAAGATAAAATTATCTTGGAGTGTGCTCTGGGTTCAGCTGTAGGATTCTGGGCTGTACTTGGGTACATTGGACTTCTCGCTGTGCTGTGTTTTGTTTTTGCTTTTTTGGCCCGAAAACTACCTGATAATTTCAATGAAGCTAAATTTATCACCTTCAGCATGCTGATATTCTGTGCAGTTTGGATCACTTTTATCCCAGCATATGTCAGCTCTCCTGGAAAATTTAGTGTTGCTGTAGAAATCTTTGCCATTCTTGCTTCTAGTTTCGGACTGCTGATTTGTATCTTCATCCCAAAGTGTTACATCATGTTACTGAAACCAGAAAGAAATACAAAAAAGTATATGATGGGGAAGGGATCACAAAAATAAATATAAAATGCGAAAAAATGTGAAAAATAAAAAAAAAATTATAATATTGTGATAATTATTTGATTTTAAGATTTTTCTTTTAGTGCATTTTTGATTTATCTATGTTCTCAGCTAACAATACTGTTTTGTCTCACACATGACCATTTTCACATATTCACACAACTCATGTGTGCATTAAACATTTGAAATAAACATGTTGGGAAATGTTATTTCAATGGTCTATTGCTCCTTGCTGTCAGATTTTATTTGAAAGCGCCGTATGTTATTATTTTTGACATCTCAAACTATTTAAGGCATGTCCATGTTTCAGCTTTAACATATCACTATGTTGTAAAAAATGTTCACTTATTGTATTAATCCAAAAATATACCATAATAATTGTCACAGCCATAAAGCGTAAACTACAAAGTCTTTTAGTAAGATGCTAGGTTTACAGAAATGTTTTAAATACCAAAGAACCATGTCAGAGTTTTTATTAGTCAACTGATACCATCTGAAATTTCACTCCTGTAATACAATATATGCTTTAAAGGCACAGTGTGTAGGATTTGTTGTTTTCAGCTACATGTAGTGGTTGGGTGGTTGAATCATCCTCCCTGGTCCTCCCCCCACCCCCACCCCCTGCTTCCAAACACAAAGTAGTTTCTACGGTGTCTCTCAGGTGTCAAA